ATTTGCCAAAAGGTTTCACTTTCAATTTACTGTTCAAATCAAGCAACATGAATTTTTCGTCTGTTTTCTACCGTAATCATTGAAGTCTCACTGAATTTTCAATCTGTTGAGCTTGCATTACTGTACTGTATTACCAAAGTAATTTCCATTCTGGTAACAGGAAGAATCGGCGACAAAAAGACGTGATGTGAGTGGTCCGAATGCGTTGCAATATTAGACGGATATTCACGCTTGCCTTTGTCGCCTTTGGCGCAACGCTTGTTCTTCTGTCATTACCTCGGGACAATTTTGGACGTGAGTTTTGCTCGATCGATGAATTGGATCGATACATTGGTTGGAAGGAGGTTCTGAATCCTGTGATGTTCCTCCAAAATGAAGTAATCATAAAAACCTCTCATTTGATAATGTTCCTCAGTAATAATACTTTCTACTAACAAACTCATAACCAACTGACCAAAAAGAAACTGAGTGTATACTAAAAGTAGAGCGCTGTTTAGCTTGATGTATTTTGCACTTTTGTTACTTTGCTCACAGGAATTGGCAGGTCTTTACAGGGTGGCCTGTACAAAGCTGAGTACTAATAGATGCCCTCACCAAGCCGAACTGCGCCAAAATAGTAATACTTTTGTGTGATTCATGATATTGGTCCCCATTACGTTACTGACCAGTAATACTTCTATGTAATTCAATGCCCTGGTCCCGGTAATATCCAGAGTAAACGCTTCAGGTGAAATACAACGCCTCAAGGCGTCTTCACTAGCATTCTGAAACATAACCTCAATTGACAAATATAACAGTGAAGTAATTTTTTGAAAGGTAAGTATGCTTTTCCGCATCTGCCACCTCTCACTGCTTGCTTATTGTTTACTTGTTTTGTGACTTGTTTGATTGTATTAATTATATTTGAGCCATACTCAAAAGAAACACGTGACAGTACTTTTTGAAGCCGTGATATAGTTAGATATAACGGAAGCAATAGAAAAGCAAACAAAAATGAAATCAAATTTTGATTTCTGATTTTTCTCTGTTTACTTGCCTATCAGTCATCGGATTGATTTTCGGAGGAACATCTGTTTGCTGAGACGAACTTTTTGCAAACAGTGTATTTGTCAACTTGTTTATTATTTATTTATTCGAATTCACCAAATATTCTGGTTGCTCAATATTCCGTACTTAAAGTCCGCTTTTTTTTCTGGTGATTCCACTTGTTTCGAATAGACATTACTGCTGTCCGGAAACTTCAATTTATTTTCGCACAATTGCTCTTTGGAGCGATCGATAACGGCGAAGGTAAATGAATTAGGTTATCTTATTAGTTCAACCTTTTTCATTTTTGGGATATTTGGATTTTGTTTATGGTGAGCTTCCACGTTCAACTTCTTTTCATGTTTCGAATACTTGAGGTACTTGAGTTTTCGTCCATCAGGTTACAATTCAGCTTATTTTTTGTTTACGTTAACTTAACATTCTACGAATATTTAAGTTGGTCGCCCATTAGGACAACTTGCATGTTCTGCTTCTTTTGATTTTTTTTCGAAATTCTGAATTTCTCGTTTGTTCTCTGGAATTATTGATTAATAGAGAATTGTCTTTTCATGTAACAGTATGCCTGTCGATCGCGCTTGTGCATTCTATAAACATTGGCGCGTGCAAAACATTCTTTTATCAATCCGTATCGCTCTTTAGAATCGATAAACAATATTATGAATAAACAATTATTTGATCAGGAAAACTCGGATCCAATCGATTAAGGTCCGAGTCATAGATTTGCCCCAAGAACACACCGGTTGTCGGGAAATTGCCAAGGGAAAAAGTGGTGCCTTTGAAGGGGCAAAGAACAACGCGCGACAATGACGAGTGTCGTTGAAGTGATGTTTTGTGGATGTGGCGGCCTTTGTTTGGGTTCTACTTGTGATCTCATGAAAGACCTTTACGAAATAGCAATTATTCCATTATTTATTACCCGTGATTTCACCTTGATCCACTAAATGAACGCTTTTGATTCCCTGCAACTCTTTTTAATCGATTTTCGTGCAGTTTCTTCTACTAGTAATTTCCATGACGTTTCTTCGTCGCTCACTCTCTTAAATTTATGATCCTCTTGCTGAGCCTTCTGCATTGCAGGTTTTTTTTTGTCGAAAAGTGCTTGGAAAAAGAAAAATCGATAATGTGAATTGCTTCTAGTAAGACTACTGGTAACTAATGGCTATTTCCCATTCGCGAGAAAAAGGAGAACCAATCAAAAGCATTGCCTCATTCGCGCACACAATAATTTTAGGCAGCAAAATGATCCTCCGGTAACTTTCTCGTTTTAGCGACTAGTTTTCGTTGTTTGGCGCCTTTATCGTACCTAAAATCGGTGCCCTCTATGTCTCTATAAACTAGTATATATTTTTGGCGAATTTTTCAAATATTTCTCATGTCTCGCGGCAAGGGAGGTAGTTACGCAGGGGATGAGCAAATCGGTTTATGTAAATTAGCTGATTAACCAGTATTTATAGGGTGACTCTTTCCTATCTCATGGAAACAAACGAAACGAATATCATCGTTAGTCAATGGTTAACCCTGGGAACAGCTGATCAACTCGGTAACGGTCGGGCCTAACCTTAGCCAGCCGATTTGATCCGCCGCTTGCGTCACATCTTTTCTAACCGCGGCTTATATGAGATGAAGCGCCATCCTCACCGGGCCATCGCTGGAGGGAGAGGGCTCATATTTCCTATTGAGAAATATGTTTTCAGTTGACGACTTTTCTCATTTTTTCATTCCCCGTGGACCATATACCTCCCCCCCTTTCGCGTCTGATGGCTTTTTTGGAACACCAGTATACTTCTGTAAAAAAAATCCGGAAAAGTGGTAGGAACTCGGGAGGATTGAGGAATGGTAGGTAAGATGGGAAGTGGAGAAGGAGGAGGTCGTACCAGGCGATCGAGTTTTTGAGGCCGCAGTGGCAGGACTCGTGCTGATCCCCACACTAGTGCTCAGCTCTTTACACCTTAGTCTGAGAATTAGGCGGTTAGGCGGTAAACTTTAATGCCTGCATATCTTCCTCCCCCCCCACCTCCCATTTCGGGTGTGGTTTATGGCAGCGTGCATTAATGTTGAGCGAAACATATCGAGTGAAGGTATTTGGTCGCTGGAAGAGGGGTTTGTATGTGGCCCGAGAGAAATTTTTTTTTTCATTTTTTCATTCAATTTTTCCTGTTCTAGCCCCTCCTCCTCCGCTCGCCAACGACAAAAGTTAAGAAAACTAGGAGAGCGTGGGTGAGTTGAGAGAGCAGGTCGAACCGGAGCGGGGCATTAGGGGAGGGGAAGGAGTCCATTTCACCCAATCCGCTTTTATACCCTGGTTAGGCATCCAAGAGCGGCGGCATAGTGCTCGAGCCCGTGTTCCTAGCTAGTTGACTCGACGCAGGACTTTTCTATCAATTCCAATACACTCCATATCTCCGAGGAGAGAAGGGCGTGGCCGCGTTCTTCATTGGAATATGGCATACGGAGCGTATTCAGTGTCACAAATCCGTCTGGGACAAATTTCACTTCGTTTTGTTCAGGACAAAGGCATGATCACAGTTTTCCCAATGTTCCACCATAATCGCAACCGGCAATGAGTACGCAGCCACGCCCTTTCCATCTCCTAGATATGAAGTGTGCTTCATTGCGGTTCACGATGAGGTATGGCTGTCAAGTAAACTATATAGGACGTCGGTTACCATGACGCGATAGATCTATTGTAAAAGTGCTGTGTTAGTCAACTAGCTAGGGACTAGCTGGTTAGCTATTAGCTGGTTTGCGCCTCCGATGTTCCATTATACAATGGCCTTCGAGTTTGTCCTTGAATAGCCCTTGACGCACGGCGATATCCTTTCTCTTTTCGCGAACGCTGTTTTCCCTTCAAAGAGACGATTTTCAATTGACTAAAATGGTTTTCATTAGCTCTTGACTCGTTTGTTTTTCACCCTAACGGAGGTAAACATCACGTCTCCCGAATGGCAAGCATGGAAATGTCAAGGATCCTGAATTTCCACAAGCAAATTGCATGTCTGACATAATGGACGCAAATAACATATGGGCTTGGCGTGCGTGGCAATGTGGTAATGGGTCGAATTTCAGGAGAATGGGATGAAGCTCCACGATCCATCGAGCTACTACAATATGATGGAAGAGGACAGGGTGACAATGCGTTACGTCAGGCCAGAGTTGGACCCCAGATGTCATTCCAAAAGCAACCAAATCCTCCTAGTTTAATTCGGAAAGATACTGTTGAAGATCCATTCGGTTAGTCATTTGCACGAATTTGTAAGGGCAAACTACCAATTAATCATAGCAATCAAGCGGATTAGCCGGGGAACGGGGCCGATAAATTTTTTTGAGGGCGCTATAGAGGTGGATAAATAATGCGTTAGCCGTTCAATTACCGGACATAGCTCTGATAGATTAATCAAGTCCGTTTGCCCTCGTCGACGACCGACGTGAGCTGACTGACACATTCTCACTCAAATCGGCATCTTTCTTCCCTGGCAGGGCCAAGCGATGACAGAGCGACGAAGAGAGATGGCGGAACGCTTCATGTGTTGGGGGAGGGCATGCGTGTGAGTGTGAAGGGGCAACTCACCGCAATGATATTATCGCGTCTTGTTTGCAGACTTTCCGTCACATGTCAATCGGGTGCTGTTAAACAAACTCTATAGATTCATCAAAGGCAGGGATCTAGGTGCATTGACGGCTAAGGAGTGCCATGAAAACACCACATTGGCCAAATACTGGTTGAAAACGAAACAGTACGTTATTCAAGTCATTAAGACATCCAACTTACTTCAATGACCTGCTCTTAATAATGGTTTTTCAGAAAATCTGTTCCAACACGTGATTCTTGGGAGAAATTCTATGCAGAAATTGGTAGTTGTAGTGTATACAATGACGATCGACTAGTTGATGATCTACTTACGGATTTAAATCAGGCTGTAATTAAGGCGGTACATATCATGGATGGTGGAACACAGGTTAGTTAAATTCTATTAGGGTTCCAAGGGCGTGAAAATTCCTAAGTTCCTTCCATTAATGACCCAATTTAGCGAGGCCTCAATTTTTGAGACTGCACTTAGGGTTATGAATTTTTGCGTGTAGGCGTTAAAGCGCGAACCAACGGGCCCGTTCCTAAGTACTTGAGTCACTGCTATTTAGCTGCCCTCATTCCTAATTGAGGTTCTTAGATCAAGCCCTCGAAAAGGCCTCACGTGACAATTTCCGGTCGGCATAGAGCCTCGTTTACCGCTTATTCTTGAGTTATTGCTGGTTTTTCTCTTGTCCCCGACAGACGCATTCCGCGATAGCAAACTGTAGGTATTCGGGTCGAAATACACAGTCTTGTTCACTGCAGAGCTGGGGCTTGTCAGTGGACTGGCTTTGGCGTGACGCCAACACGAACACCACCGACTGTGGAAGCTGGCAGGCGACCACGATTGTTAGAAAACTGACTGGCGCCGTCGAAACCCAGCCCCCCCTGAAACGCCGCAGCTTCCGCGTCAAACAAGACTGCCTATGTATGTAGAGGTTCGAATTAGCAATAAAAAGGAGCCGAAACGACCGCCAATAACACCTCCAATATGGCCCGCTCAGTTTTCAGCATTCGACGAGCAATAGAGACGCAGAGAAGCTTTGTCGGCTGACGGGAAAACGTAAAATTGTGAGCGGTAGCCACAGCACATCAACCATGAGAAAGTCGATAGCAGCTCCACGCTCGTACATTCATGAACCTTTGTGCTAAGTTTTGGCCACTGGAAACTCCTACTGCCCTCACCATAATCTTGTAGTGGCCATAGGGGCACACCCTGGGGACCTGCGCTTGTCATACACGGGATGATTCCACCTCTAAGGTAAGACCGCTTCAAATAGACGATTCTGAAGTAAAGGAGGAAACTGTTAGTAGAAGAAAGTATACGTATCGATTTAGAGAATGCAGAATTAAGATAAATGCAGGATCTGCAAAAGAGCGCGAGTGGCGGACAAAGACTTGATAGGAATTGATGGCTCAGTCCTTCCACTGGATCCTGATTCTGCATTATGCTGTGCAGGCCCTGCATTTGTACACTTCCGCAGATTCGTCATTTCTTCCCATAGACACCTATATTTTCTTTTTTTTTCTACAGATTCTGCATTTCTTCCTTTCCGCTAAACTTCTAATCAATACGTACATTTTCTTCTATCCGCAGTTTCCATTTTTCGGAGTTTTCATGTACGGAACCGGCCTAATGGCGTTTCCTAAAGCTCTTTGCACCTCTAGAATGAGCAGGAAACGAGCAGAAAACGTGTGACACACCATGTGTGTCATTCGCAATATGTTGAAACTTGTCCGCGATCTTTTAGAATGCTGTTTAGGCGAAGTTGGTCTTTACGTTTGAGAACGACAAGCAGGCGGTTTTCAAGCCGATGAGGTATGTTGAAGAGTTAATCATCTCCGTCATTGGGCCGTGATAAACGGAGATGCTTTCAGATTTGGCCGCGATTATGAATCAGATCCAAATCATTTCTACTTCAGTGACTTTGAACGGCATAACGCCGAGATTGCCACATTTCATCTGGACAGGTGTGTTTGTGGGGGCGATAGTAGGTATCACATGAGACCTTGTAGAGTGCATTGGCCATAGGATAGCTCAGGGAGTCGGGAGCATTCCATGGGAATGAGGTAGCTCTCAAAAGATTATGTATCCAGATGTGAAACAATGCATGGGAATGAGAAATACGCAAAAAGATTACCATTTGTCAAGAATATTTTGTAGGAAACTGGAACCTCTGCAAAATTGATGATATTCTAATAGACTGGAACCTTTGCAATTTCTATGAAATCTTAATCAAAGGCTATTTAATTTAGATGAACAGTGTAATGTTCCGAAAATTCACTCAAAAAGCGGTGCTGACGTCGTTGAGCGGGTCACCGCGATAGCGCCTGTTCGTGCCGTTCAGGGCACGTCCTGCCATCGGGGAATTTTCGCAAAATCCGATCCCTTCCCTTAAATTATTCTCCTGTGCTACGAGCGTTTCCCTTACCCATCCCTATCTTACCTACCATCATCTCGACCATCTTTCTAAGTTCCTCCTGCTTCCAAACAATTTTCCAGAGTTTTTTTTTCGAAAACTGCCCTTTTTTCCAAAAAAAAAACTGCTGTCGAGTGGGGGATATAGTGCAATTAAAACAGGAAAAAACCGAGGAATGTCAACGACCGGAAACATTTTCACGAGAGCGAAATACAACGCGCCTCCCCTTCCTCCAGCGACCAAATACGCCTCCATGGCTGGAATCCCCAACGAACGACGTGCTCTGGTCTCGCCGTGTGAATCAGGGCTCAGGCTCAGAACGCAGACGGCCGGAATGGCGTAGAGATAGCACGAGACAGAGAGCAACAACGGTGGTAGAGCAATAAAAGGTACAAGAGAACATGTTTTGAGCCAAGGAATGGTTGATTTTCGGTTTTCCCGGGGAGGGGACTTTGAAGTGGGTCGGTCACTTAGCTTAAGTGAAAAGTTGGAATGTATCAGGTCACAATGTTCATAGAACGCCATGCAAACAGGAGGGCGCTGATGCTCAGGGCTACTCTGGTCGTCTGCACTCTGGGCTTAAGTTTTTGGTCAGGGGAAGAGATGCAGGGACCCGCTCACCCAAGTGAGCAAAAAAAAGTTCGAAAACACGAACGTTTTGAAGATTTTTTTATCTTTTGTTTTGCCGTATTCAGACGCTTAGCACCTTCGTCAGGTTCGATGGTGGTTAAAGGCACAGTTCGCGACCGCAAATTGCGGGAAACGGAACTCAAATAGGCACAAAAAAGTGCTAAGTATCTGATTAGCGGAGAAAAGCAGCAGAAAAAGCAGTCCGAAATGTTATAGAGAAAGATAACATAGTGGCTACTAGCTAGTAGCTAGCAGCCGGTGAGGGTCGGCATGGGCCTAAGGGGTGTCCATGGGCCTAATTAGTCAGCTTCTAGCGGAGTTCTTGCCGTTTTTCACATTTTGAAAGTAGCGCCTCAAAAATCGCCTTCCGGATCGTCCGACACATTTGAGAGGTCATAGCCTTATTTTATCGCGGAATATGCCTTTAACTATAGACAATTCGACAAATAATTTAGCAAGTAAGTTAATGCAGCTCGTATGGGCTGGCACCTCATGGGACACCATTGACATACCATTCATTCCGACATAAAATAGCTAACCCACTCTCTACCCTCAAATATTTGATCTGTAGCCTCAAAGTTAGCGGATGTTTTAGCAAAAAAAAATAGTGAGTTTTAGAGTTCTGGGATTCCGACGTGCAGTCCCAACTGTGGGACGAATCGTCAACATGACATCTGAACTGTTCGATAAGGCCGAGAAGAAACTGAAGAAAACGTTTTTCATCTCACCAGGTAAGCAAGCACGAATATCCATCACTTTAATTCCGATTTCTTTTCAATTCCTACCAAAAATTAAATTTTGTTCTCTGCGTTTGTGAAATTTACTAGTAAACTGAAAGTTTCACTTCAACACTAGCAGACGAGATTTCAAAGGAGATAAAGAAGGAATGAACAAAGTAGTATGTACAACAATACCGTAAAAGGCAGAACAAAATCAAGAGACGAATAACTGGAATGGTGATTGAAAAAAAAATAAAATCGGATTAAAGAGAAGCCGATTATATCGATAAAAGTCTTTGCTTTTACTTCCCGGCCACTAACTTCCCGTTCAGTTCAAACGATGGCTTTCCTTTTTTAGGGTATAAGTCGCACTCCTTGGGGTCAGAGTTGCAGTGGTCCTACAACACCATAGGTGGTAGCGCCCACGCTGAGGGCAGGAAGCTTCTCTGTATCCAACGTACAGGGCCTATACGAGGGGCGACTTATACTGTGGGAGATAGTGTGTCCTCATGGTATAGGCCTTACCCGTTAGGGTACTTTCAGAGCTGTAGGAACCTTTTCAACGTCATAGATATTTGTGTCTCCGGAAACTGCTCGGTATCCCATTTTTCAACGTTATGCGAAACAGTCATCGCGCCAGAGCGACAGGGCGGCTTGTACGAGCGGGCGGTTTAGACTGTGAGGGACAGGATATTTGTAGGTTGAATGGCTCAGTCCGTAATTGCTCATTATTCAACCATAATTTTTTTGTACTTATTTTCTTGTGAATTATTTGTTAGACTTTTTGGCGTAGGTCCTTTTCGATGCAAGGCTGTTAGATCATTTTATTGGCTTACTTTGAAGTTTGGCGACTTCGATTCCTTCTCTTAGGCTGCAAGAGTCGAAGCATTATATAATCACGATCCTACTGGTGTTCTAGGCTCAAAAGATATCACCTAATTGCAAAGTGGTTACCTACCGTAAAACAGTCTAAGTCTTTGAGACCATCCAGAGACAGGTAATGGGGCGAGATCACATCGCTCGAAAAGCCAGTGCCATTCCTAGGCCAAAAAGTGGTTCAACAACCCCAGCAGAAGAATTTGAAAAACGTTGCTCTTGTTCTATGCTGACGTCTATTCAAAGCCGGGTATTGCATCAGATTAATCTCCTTTCTTTTAGTTGGGATAATTGCCACTTTTCTGACAGTGACCTACTTTCGTTCGATTTTCAGCGAAAAATCACTGTTTCGTGTCACGATGCGATTATTACTGTGATACGACGCATGCGATTTGTGGTCTACCAGATTTGAAAGAAGGATCGGTTCAGGTGTTTTTACCCGACGAAGGTGTCGTACCACGTCGACACAATCGAAGCCCCTATCGGAGGTCAGTTTTTATCGATATCACCCTGATTTCGTATTCCTTCCTATGTATCGATTGATGGAAAGTTCTTAGTAGGTCATGTTAAGCATTACGTGGCGACGTAAATTATTCTCAAGAATGCTGAGTTATGGGCAAACGTCGTGTCCCAGGCGGGAGTCGAACCCGCACCTCAGGTTTCGTTGTGAGTGCTGAGGCTACGGCATAAAAGCCGTTAAGCTGAGAGGGTAAAAGCGGCCCTGGTGGCGTAACGGATAGCGCACTCGCCCGGAAAGCGTGAGGTGCGGGTTCGACTCCCGCCTGGGGCACGACTTTTGCCCATAACTCAGCATTCTTGAGAATAATTTACGTCGCCACGTAATGCTTAACATGACCTACTAAGAACTTTCCATCAATCGATACATAGGAAGGAATACGAAATCAGGGTGATATTCGATAAAAACTGACCTCCGATAGGGGCTTCGATTGTGTCGACGTGGTACGACACCTTCGTCGGGTAAAAACACCTGAACCGATCCTTCTTTCAAATCTGGTAGACCACAAATCGCATGCGTCGTATCACAGTAATAATCGCATCGTGACACGAAACAGTGATTTTTCGCTGAAAATCGAACGAAAGTAGGTCACTGTCAGAAAAGTGGCAATTATCCCAACTAAAAGAAAGGAGATTAATCTGATGCAATACCCGGCTTTGAATAGACGTCAGCATAGAACAAGAGCAACGTTTTTCAAATTCTTCTGCTGGGGTTGTTGAACCACTTTTTGGCCTAGGAATGGCACTGGCTTTTTCGAGCGATGTGATCTCGCCCCATTACCTGTCTCTGGATGGTCTCAAAGACTAGACTGTTTTACGGTAGGTAACCACTTTGCAATTAGGTGATATCTTTTGAGCCTAGAACACCAGTAGGATCGTGATTATATAATGCTTCGACTCTTGCAGCCTAAGAGAAGGAATCGAAGTCGCCAAACTTCAAAGTAAGCCAATAAAATGATCTAACAGCCTTGCATCGAAAAGGACCTACGCCAAAAAGTCTAACAAATAATTCACAAGAAAATAAGTACAAAAAAATTATGGTTGAATAATGAGCAATTACGGACTGAGCCATTCAACCTACAAATATCCTGTCCCTCACAGTCTAAACCGCCCGCTCGTACAAGCCGCCCTGTCGCTCTGGCGCGATGACTGTTTCGCATAACGTTGAAAAATGGGATACCGAGCAGTTTCCGGAGACACAAATATCTATGACGTTGAAAAGGTTCCTACAGCTCTGAAAGTACCCTAACGGGTAAGGCCTATACCATGAGGACACACTATCTCCCACAGTATAAGTCGCCCCTCGTATAGGCCGCCCTGTACGTTTGGATACAGAGAAGCTTCCTGCCCTCAGCGTGGGCGCTACCACCTATGGTGTTGTAGGACCACTGCAACTCTGACCCCAAGGAGTGCGACTTATACCCTAAAAAAGGAAAGCCATCGTTTGAACTGAACGGGAAGTTAGTGGCCGGGAAGTAAAAGCAAAGACTTTTATCGATATAATCGGCTTCTCTTTAATCCGATTTTATTTTTTTTTCAATCACCATTCCAGTTATTCGTCTCTTGATTTTGTTCTGCCTTTTACGGTATTGTTGTACATACTACTTTGTTCATTCCTTCTTTATCTCCTTTGAAATCTCGTGAAACTTTCAGTTTACTAGTAAATTTCACAAACCAGAGAACAAAATTTAATTTTTGGTAGGAATTGAAAAGAAATCGGAATTAAAGTGATGGATATTCGTGCTTGCTTACCTGGTGAGATGAAAAACGTTTTCTTCAGTTTCTTCTCGGCCTTATCGAACAGTTCAGATGTCATGTTGACGATTCGTCCCACAGTTGGGACTGCACGTCGGAATCCCAGAACTCTAAAACTCACTATTTTTTTTTGCTAAAACATCCGCTAACTTTGAGGCTACAGATCAAATATTTGAGGGTAGAGAGTGGGTTAGCTATTTTATGTCGGAATGAATGGTATGTCAATGGTGTCCCATGAGGTGCCAGCCCATACGAGCTGCATTAACTTACTTGCTAAATTATTTGTCGAATTGTCTATAGTTAAAGGCATATTCCGCGATAAAATAAGGCTATGACCTCTCAAATGTGTCGGACGATCCGGAAGGCGATTTTTGAGGCTCTACTTTCAAAATGTGAAAAACGGCAAGAACTCCGCTAGAAGCTGACTAATTAGGCAGAAGCTGACTAATTAGGCCCATGGACACCCCTTAGGCCCATGCCGACCCTCACCGGCTGCTAGCTACTAGCTAGTAGCCACTATGTTATCTTTCTCTATAACATTTCGGACTGCTTTTTCTGCTGCTTTTCTCCGCTAATCAGATACTTAGCACTTTTTTGTGCCTATTTGAGTTCCGTTTCCCGCAATTTGCGGTCGCGAACTGTGCCTTTAAGCACCATCGAACCTGACGAAGGTGCTAAGCGTCTGAATACGGCAAAACAAAAGATAAAAAAATCTTCAAAACGTTCGTGTTTTCGAACTTTTTTTTGCTCACTTGGGTGAGCGGGTCCCTGCATCTCTTCCCCTGACCAAAAACTTAAGCCCAGAGTGCAGACGACCAGAGTAGCCCTGAGCATCAGCGCCCTCCTGTTTGCATGGCGTTCTATGAACATTGTGACCTGATACATTCCAACTTTTCACTTAAGCTAAGTGACCGACCCACTTCAAAGTCCCCTCCCCCGGGAAAACCGAAAATCAACCATTCCTTGGCTCAAAACATGTTCTCTTGTACCTTTTATTGCTCTACCACCGTTGTTGCTCTCTGTCTCGTGCTATCTCTACGCCATTCCGGCCGTCTGCGTTCTGAGCCTGAGCCCTGATTCACACGGCGAGACCAGAGCACGTCGTTCGTTGGGGATTCCCAGCCATGGAGGCGTATTTGGTCGCTGGAGGAAGGGGAGGCGCGTTGTATTTCGCTCTCGTGAAAATGTTTCCGGTCGTTGACATTCCTCGGTTTTTTCCTGTTTTAATTGCACTATATCCCCCACTCGACAGCAGTTTTTTTTTGGAAAAAAGGGCAGTTTTCGAAAAAAAAACTCTGGAAAATTGTTTGGAAGCAGGAGGAACTTAGAAAGATGGTCGAGATGATGGTAGGTAAGATAGGGATGGGTAAGGGAAACGCTCGTAGCACAGGAGAATAATTTAAGGGAAGGGATCGGATTTTGCGAAAATTCCCCGATGGCAGGACGTGCCCTGAACGGCACGAACAGGCGCTATCGCGGTGACCCGCTCAACGACGTCAGCACCGCTTTTTGAGTGAATTTTCGGAACATTACACTGTTCATCTAAATTAAATAGCCTTTGATTAAGATTTCATAGAAATTGCAAAGGTTCCAGTCTATTAGAATATCATCAATTTTGCAGAGGTTCCAGTTTCCTACAAAATATTCTTGACAAATGGTAATCTTTTTGCGTATTTCTCATTCCCATGCATTGTTTCACATCTGGATACATAATCTTTTGAGAGCTACCTCATTCCCATGGAATGCTCCCGACTCCCTGAGCTATCCTATGGCCAATGCACTCTACAAGGTCTCATGTGATACCTACTATCGCCCCCACAAACACACCTGTCCAGATGAAATGTGGCAATCTCGGCGTTATGCCGTTCAAAGTCACTGAAGTAGAAATGATTTGGATCTGATTCATAAGTCGCGGCCAAATCTGAAAGCATCTCCGTTTATCACGGCCCAATGACGGAGATGATTAACTCTTCAACATACCTCATCGGCTTGAAAACCGCCTGCTTGTCGTTCTCAAACGTAAAGACCAACTTCGCCTAAACAGCATTCTAAAAGATCGCGGACAAGTTTCAACATATTGCGAATGACACACATGGTGTGTCACACGTTTTCTGCTCGTTTCCTGCTCATTCTAGAGGTGCAAAGAGCTTTAGGAAACGCCATTAGGCCGGTTCCGTACATGAAAACTCCGAAAAATGGAAACTGCGGATAGAAGAAAATGTACGTATTGATTAGAAGTTTAGCGGAAAGGAAGAAATGCAGAATCTGTAGAAAAAAAAAGAAAATATAGGTGTCTATGGGAAGAAATGACGAATCTGCGGAAGTGTACAAATGCAGGGCCTGCACAGCATAATGCAGAATCAGGATCCAGTGGAAGGACTGAGCCATCAATTCCTATCAAGTCTTTGTCCGCCACTCGCGCTCTTTTGCAGATCCTGCATTTATCTTAATTCTGCATTCTCTAAATCGATACGTATACTTTCTTCTACTAACAGTTTCCTCCTTTACTTCAGAATCGTCTATTTGAAGCGGTCTTACCTTAGAGGTGGAATCATCCCGTGTATGACAAGCGCAGGTCCCCAGGGTGTGCCCCTATGGCCACTACAAGATTATGGTGAGGGCAGTAGGAGTTTCCAGTGGCCAAAACTTAGCACAAAGGTTCATGAATGTACGAGCGTGGAGCTGCTATCGACTTTCTCATGGTTGATGTGCTGTGGCTACCGCTCACAATTTTACGTTTTCCCGTCAGCCGACAAAGCGTCTCTGCGTCTCTATTGCTCGTCGAATGCTGAAAACTGAGCGGGCCATATTGGAGGTGTTATTGGCGGTCGTTTCGGCTCCTTTTTATTGCTAATTCGAACCTCTACATACATAGGCAGTCTTGTTTGACGCGGAAGCTGCGGCGTTTCAGGGGGGCTGGGTTTCGACGGCGCCAGTCAGTTTTCTAACAATCGTGGTCGCCTGCCAGCTTCCACAGTCGGTGGTGTTCGTGTTGGCGTCACGCCAAAGCCAGTCCACTGACAAGCCCCAGCTCTGCAGTGAACAAGACTGTATTTCGACCCGAATACCTACAGTTTGCTATCGCGGAATGCGTCTGTCGGGGACAAGAGAAAAACCAGCAATAACTCAAGAATAAGCGGTAAACGAGGCTCTATGCCGACCGGAAATTGTCACGTGAGGCCTTTTCGAGGGCTTGATCTAAGAACCTCAATTAGGAATGAGGGCAGCTAAATAGCAGTGACTCAAGTACTTAGGAACGGGCCCGTTGGTTC